GTCTAGATTAGACTCTAAGGTTTTTTTAGTTGAGTTGCTCAAAAAATTACATATCAGTCGATAAGAATTAATCAAGAAGCGATTGAGTACAAAACATCATCTTATTTGGCAAACTGTTGCAAGTTGGTTTCATGCCTCATTACCTTACACATTTAATTTCTGAACATTTTGCACAAATTTTTGTGGAATCACGTAAAAAAAAAACACTTTATCAGTATCTTTGAGCTAACTTTTCAATGTTGTTTAAGCTTCTAGAGTTCTAACATCTATGATGAGTCAATTAAAAAAAGAGTTGTATCAGCTGATAACAAACTTTATAAGCAATCAAAGAAACGAAAATCAACCTATGAAGCATACTGCTAAAATTTGACCTTAGGCTTAAATTTTCTAACGTCCTTAATGATCGTATATTAGACTCTAAAATTTTGACTTAATTGCGTTAAACAAGCATTATATCAGTTGATGTTGAATTTCAAAAACGAAACAAGAAACAAATACATGTACCCTTATTTGAGCACACTGTTCAATCTTACGACGTTTAAGCTTAAAGAGCTCCGACAGCTTTGATTTTTAGAATCCAAGGTTTGTATTGAATCAATTTAAACAATGCTGTATCAGTTTGCGATATTCTCTAAAAGCATTTGAGGAACATATAATAGATATCGATATAGATGAAGCATATATGCTGTAAAACTTTAGTCTCAACCCCAGGACCTCAGAGATCTTAATTAATAAGCTTCAAGATATCAATGATTCACTTCAAAAAATTATATGTCAGCTAATGATAAAATATAAAAGCAATTCTAGAGACAAATATTCTGTTTTGATTTGATTTTAGGATCAAAATAGCTGACATCTTTGATGATTTGACTCTAAGGTTTCCATTGAATCCCTCTAAAAAAAGTTTGGCATATAATGAAACTTTAAAAAGAGTTGAAGAGACAACTACCACGTTGTGCAACATATTGTATAAATATGATTTTAGCCTCAAAAGCGTTAACATCTTTAAAGAAAAGGCTTTGAGATTGTAAATGAATCAACTAAAACAATTTACGTCATATGACGACATTCGCTCGGACGAAGGGCTAACGCTCGAAACGTCAGCTTTTGTATTCGTTAAGGTGGCCAATTTACCATTTCAACTTTGTTGATATATCCAAAATATGACGACAAGCTCTAGAAGCAATTTGAGAAACAATCGATCAGACTTATCTAAAACTGGGCTCGTAGATTTTGAATTAATGATTGAATCACAACAAAAAGTACTATATCGGTATCTTTATGCTCAGTAATCGTTGTGCTTTTGAAGCTTCTAGAGCCATGAATAAACGTTTGATGATCATAGGCTCCAAGATTTTTCTTGAGTCACTCTAGAACAATGTTATATCAATTGATGACAACTCTGGAAAGAAGACTCACGAGCTTGAACATCTCTAATGATAAGACTCTGAGATTTTAATTGAATTATTAAAGAAAACTTTTAATCGTATGATGATAAACTTCAGAAGCCATTTAAGGACCAAGTATCAATTCATGTAGCATCACTTTTCAATTAGGTTTTGGCTTCTAGGCTCAGACATTTCCAAACATTAGCAAGACTGATGTTTATAGAATCATTTAAAAAAGTGCCGTGATGTATCTGTTAATGATAAAGGTCAGAAGCAATGCGAGAGACAAATACATCTTTTGAGCATACTGTTTCATGTGGTTTAAGCTTGGACAAGAGCTCTAGCATCTTCCATTTTTGGGCTTCAAAACTATTATTGAGTGACAGTAATTTGTACTATAAAATTGTATGACAGCTAGTAGATGACATAAACTTCAAGCAATCTGAGAACCAACAACAACAACAATAACAACAACTGTACAACAACTTTATTTGTACCCAACATAAAAAATACTGATAAAAATAATGATGAATTAACAAGAATATAAAGGAGTACTAGCTTCCCCAGTTAACCATAGGGGCTAGAAAAAAAGGGAAGCTATTACTTAGATATAATACACACAACAACCAAGGGTAAATTTATGTAGTATCCTGTTTCAATTTGGTTTTTTAGCCCCAAGCAATCATATATTGAAGATAATCATATATATCAACTTTTGGAGTATGCTGCTCTAGTCAGGCCTTAGCTTTAAGAGCTCAAACAAGGCTCACCTTCTTATTAGTGGGGCTTCAAGGTGTTTACTGTATTACAACTGAAAAAAGTTTTGTTTCTTTAAAAAATACTTTCAGAATATCAAACTTATCAGAGATCCCGAGTAGAGAAAAAATGAAGAAATGATAATCTTAGGAGCATTCTCATGAGTATTTTTATTTTAGCCTTAAGAGATGAGACTTTTAACAATTTTACAATTTGCTAGTAATTAAATATTCTAAAAAAATATATATGAACAATGGTTTTAGTCGAGTTAACTCTAACAATCATTCTCTCAAATTTTGTTATGGTAACTTAGTAGGGCAGATGGATTGTCATAGTATGCATGATAGTAAAAACTGAAGTAATCTCAGTAACTCTAAAAATTGATGAACACTGATAAAAGGGATTTATACTAAAATTCATTAAACGAAGAGACCTGAGACCTGTAAAGAAATGTCGAAAGCCGTCTCAGTTAGAGACAGATCCAAGGAGTTAGAGGAGATTAGAAATATATTTATTTCTTATTTGATATTTTTCTTTGCTATCAGCCAAGCTGGCTTTGAATTGCAAACACTTTCTCAATCCATGGTAAATCGTTCAATGCATTCGAATTATGAAGCCCAGATAGCTTAAATTTGTGATTAAAAGCCACATATCCAACCTTGTAACAAGTTTTCTTGTATATCTTTCCTTCCTTGAATTTCTTTATTTCCAGGTTTTCTCACTTTTTCGTGGTACTTTACTATGAAAATATAAAGAAAACATGTTGTGAATTTGTACAAAACTAAATGGTAAACATTTTACAGAGTACAAATTTCAATGTCAGGATGGAAAAAGTCATCGAGAGAAACTGCGTTTAAATGTCCTGTTAACAAATTAAATATTCTTTTGTGTTATTGAAAAAAAATATTGCCAACAGAACATTTATTTAAAAACTTAGTAGACGATATGAAATTAAAAAAGTGTAATGAACAGTAACTGTCATGGCGGCTGCCACAGAGATACCTCTGAGAATGTGCACAATTCATAACGCTCTCCTTCCTCTGTAAATTGTTCCTAATTTTGTAGTTTTTCATTTAACGAGAGCAATAACAAGAAACATGAACTCTTTCTTTATCCAAAATTTATGGTTTTGGAGATTTTTGTACCTGAAGTAAAGTCGCGACAAATTAAAACCATCGATCCTCGACATCAAATCTGAACCACTGGATTTAACAAATAAAACTCATGCCGACCTGGACAAAACAATCAACATCCAAAATACTAGGGTCTAAGAGATATGTTTCTTGACTCAAAAAAAAAGCAGGAAAAGAGGTAAAACTCTGCTGAAGTTCGTTAGCTCTTTCCACGTGCAAGACCAAGTTCAAACATGAATATTACTTGAAATATGAAAATTATTTGTGATTCAAATGAGTTTTCACCAGTTTGACGGGTTCAAAAAACCGACACCGACTTCTTTGGTCAGTTTCAGGCGTGAAATTTGTAGAACTAAGAAGGACGATGATTTTTTAACTTGGTAAAGTTTAAAAGAGGGGTAAATTGAAATTTTATAAATGTCAACGCGAACTGAAATGAACTGAAAACTTTATAACAGTTTGCGTGGAAAGCACTTTTTAGTGATTGGCAATCAGCTAACCAGAACTCCCCGTTATCTCGATTTGGGTTTTTTTTTAACTCAACAGGTTTCGGCCATTTCTAAATCTGTGCGTATCACTGTCGATGAAACTCATTACTCACAATGGACCTGGGACTCATAGAATGAAGGCACACAGGCCTCTTAAATTGTTTGGGGATGAGATCGAAATGAAATTTCTGCACCATTTCTTTCGAAATAAGAACAGAGCGACCGATAATCAATGCAGTAGTTATTTGTGTTCTCAATCAGTTGAAGTTGAATCGAGGCCGTCACGCACATATGGCCCGATCACCGAGTTGTTGGCGGATAGACGAATTTTTAGCAGGTAAGTCTATGGAATCTTTAATTAGGCAAGATGATGATCAAATTTTTATATAAAATTTTTCATGGCGGAGATAAAATGCAGACGCTACTGGACGAAATAACGGGGGTAAGCTCCTAAAGAAACTGAGATGCTTCCTCGGTGTGACATTTTGCAAGGTAATTAAGTTTTATCAAGAATGATATGGTGAATTGGCAGCAGTAACTAAGAGATTTCAAAGCCGACATTTCGGGTATTAACCCTTCGTCAATTTTCCAAAGCGGATTTTGAGCTCTGAACTCAAATGGCCAACTTTACGGTTGAGAAGCCAACTGGCAAGAAAGACGTCGAGCCTACCTTTGCAAAATAATTCAATCACAGGAAACTCACTTGTGTTCACGGTACCAACAGGTCTACAGCAACCGAAAGCGACTGAACTTCGATCGTTATTTCTTCTCGTGCCAACTCAGTGTAAATCGATTTGCAATGACAAGTGCAGCCTATTTCTACAATCAGCAGCCTGTAATAATCCATGAACCTGAAGAGATCGGCCCTCTTCACTGTTTTTCTCAAGAACAGCTCGAGGAGTGTGTGACATATACAAACGATTATGAAGAGTATTTTAGTTGGCGAAACAAAGAAGTCTTTTTTCGCAGTGATCTGCAATTTGATCTGCAGTCCTCTTCATTGCTTACGTTGCTGATTAAAGGTTATTCAATGCGTACTGGAAATCACGTTGAATAAGACAACGGAATGTGTCGTACATGTTGTTATACCTACACGACTGGCTCACACAGACGAGAGTAGTTACCATTTCTGTGTTTAAGAGAACGTCTAAGAACAAAGTTGGGAGCTTAAAGAAGGCAAAAAGTATTTCCTTTGAAGAATCAGCTGAGACCTACAATTCAGACCAGCTCAGCTGTTTATCACGGATCAACATCAAATGTAGGTATCATATTAAGCCGTAACTGAGGCATTCAGAATGGTACGCTTGACATCATAATGTCGGTTTTATTCTGGTGTTTGCAGAGATATCAGCTTCGTTGCACTTACTTGGAATCGGCTGTCTTTCGAAAACGCGTTTTTTTTTTAATGTTGAAGTCCCTCGAATGCTAGTAGTTAGGACAGTGGCCAGTTATATTGACTGCTCCAATATCGCCCCACGGACCAAACGTCTCCTTTGTGCCGTCGACCTTTATAATTGATACCTTCAGCTTCTTTGTAACCTTTCATTGGTTTTAATCTATTAATTTCTCCTCGATTTTAATCTGTTAATTTCGACCACTAGTTCTCAGAGACTGGAAAAGCAATCTTCATTCGCACATATGACAGAGTGGCAAGATTGAAAAGGACCCTTCGCTTCCGCATGTCCAATGGCTCAAAAATTAAGAGATATAAACAAATACAGTTTTTACCTGAACAAGGACAAACGATCGCTCGCTCTGCGCTCTTCGTCAACCAACAATCAACCGCCTTGGGTTTTCATGTCCGGTGATGGTGTGATTTTTGTCACGCCGATTTGAAAATTATATTCGTTTTGAATGACAGCTTCGATTTGGTCGTTTAATGTGCATGGTAGTTTTGATTCCGACTGATTCTACCACTTGATAATAGTACTTCAATTTTCGCCAGTTAAGAGGAAAGAGATAAGTCGATGACTCGATTCGTAACACAACTGAGACTTTACTTAAACTAGAAAAACGGAAGCAGAACGAGCGGGCTTACAGGCTAAAGTAGAACCGCGCGGGACCCGAGGCCACGCATACCTAAAACTAATGTATCGCCGAACGGAACTGGCGTGGCTTCCTTTTCCTCTGCCCTCAAACTATATAAAAAGGAGACAAGTTCCTTAGGTACATGGCAAATATCAAGCTAAATTCAAATAAGTAACAGTAATGGATGTAAAATTTATAAAGAAAACTAATCGAGTTCTTTGAACCAAGGGGTGGCATAGTTGGAGTCCATAACTCAGAGTCACAAGCATAGAGTTTATAGTGTCCATTACTCAATTACGGTCCATAAAAAATTCATCATATCGTGCAGGACGACGTCGCGCGCGTGTGGATCTGCGGGGAAAGGAACAGGCATCAGAGGCATTTCCTGTGGTGGGGGAGTCTAAAACTGGATCAGGAGGAGTGTCTTCGCAGGGCTCGTATTGGTCGGCAGGAAGGATGGAATCAGGATCTTCCTGAGTAGCAGGTGTCAATATTGCACTTGGTATGACGGGTGGAGAAGGAGGGGAAGATACTGGCTGTGCTGGAAGGGCTTCGTCGGATGAGGAGTCAGTGTCACTGTTGACTGCTGATGGTTGGAAGTCTGTTACTTCTAACCATCAGTTTTGTTGCTAACCTTCCCCCGGTTAGCTCAATTGGTTAGAGCGCGGATTGTGTTCTAGGAGACGTTAATTTTCTACGCACGAGATTACTGTGTGGTGGATGTCCTCCCCTGGGGTGGAATGGATGGGTGTTCACAGGGCCCCATTTAAATTAGCTATCTGCTAAACTGGGCTACCCTGAATAAGTATTCGTAAATAAATAAATAAATAAATACTTCAGATGGGACCCTGTAGCAATCAGATGTCTTCACGCGGTAAGATATGCTTCGAAGTTGGGCGAGACTGGTAGCTGTATGTTTTTACTGTGGGCTTTCGGAGTGTAGACGACATGAACCTGGCAGAAGCAGAAGTGTTCGTTCCGTTTGAGGAAGTGTGGCTTAGGAGATATTACTGGACAGTAACTGGCTATTTGCCTGAGCATAAGCTCCAGGAAATTGACTTTTTGCCGGGCTGTACGGCGTTTGCTGGGAGGTGCTGCTTCTCCATGATCGGTGAGACCGCACAGGGGCTGGGTCTTAGTCCTCTTACCCCAAGGGAGTGAAATTGCTGTCGGGTGACAAGGTATAAATCAGATTTAGCTCGAGGAAGCTGCCACCACGCCAGTGAGAGGAAAGAGATAAGTCCGCCGATGACTCGATTCGTAACACAACGGGGGTTTTAATTGAACTGGTAAAACGAAAACAGAACTAGCGGGCTTCCAGACTAAAGTAGAATCGCGCGGGGCCCGTGGCCACGCATGCCCATAACTAATGTATCGCTGTCCGGTACTGGCGTTTAGTTTAGTTTTGTGCGGAAAATCAAGTCTTATTTCATTCTCAAATACTAATTATGCAGAATTGAGAGAGAATTTGACGGTGAACATGCCAAAGTATTCATGAAAGCGTGAAAGCATGAAAGCATGAAAGCATGAAAGCATGAAAGCATGAAAGCATGAAAGCATGAAAGCATGAAAGCATCAAAGCATGAAAGCATCAAAGCATCAAAGCATGAAGTAAGAAAGTCATGTTGTGGTGTAAGTCCGTAAACCTTCCCTCGACCCCCTCACGGTTTTCAAAATGGCGGACTATCGTGACACATTCGTGTTATCTCTCTTGTGACTCGTCCTGGTTCGTTTCGAGCACCGGTCAACGATGAACAAATTTGTTCGGCTTTTTCGGATACATTTTTAGTTAATTTTTTTCAGACCCTCACTTCTGCATTTCGACATTGCTATTGATTAGAACAAAAGAGCTAAATCGTCAAGCGTTCGCACATGCGCGTTTACTCTGAACATATGTAACTTATATTTCGAAGAAGAATTTGAATTGAAATGAGAATTAAAAACAAAAAGAAAACGAAGAGAAAGGAAAAGATGATAGACGAAAAAGGCTGACAAGGCCGGGGCCTGAACCTTTGGACTCCAGAGGAGTATATATAGGTATATTCATAGCGCCAGGTACGCAGAGCGTACGAAGTGGCGAAGTCTGGTATGGAAATAAATTTGAAGCACATTTCATATGTGTACCTATTCTAGCTGTTCGTTAAACCCACTTGTATTTAACACCACATTTCTATGGAAAGCCGATACAATGGGAAAAATGTGGACAGTTACTAGAGATATTACTAAGGAAGAGTGCCAAGGCCTACAGTTCCTTCGAAGAAGTACTCCAAGTTGTACACCCGCACCTTGCAAACACCAACGACAGTCAAATAGCATTAAAGAAAGGTGTAATTGTAATTTTGGACGATGCTACCCAATATACCGAGATAGAGACGTCAAACTGCCGGTTTCCGGGCAGCTAGGGCACAACACCTGTGGAAGCTTTATTTTTATTCTTTTTTATCTATTTATATTTTTTTTAGTCTAAGAAAAATTACTCTGCAATTACTTTGTATTGCAGGTAGCTGTGGGCATAAATTCATTACGCAACATTTTATGAAAACGTTTAAATGTTTTGAGCTTTAAACCTTATTACATTGCTTATTTCATCTCAGATAAAATGGCCCAGGGAAGTTCAGAAACCTCGAATCAAACCAACAGAGGAAGAGGGGCACAAGATCCAAGTAAGTTCTTAGATTTACTAGATCAAGTTTACTCAGGGTGGGGGAAGCACTAATGTTTGATGATTTCCATTTCCTTCGTCTTCAGGACTCGCACAATTTAAAAAGAAGGTCGTTACTCTACTACAATGCATGTCAATACAGGAAGAAGCGGGAGAATGTTGGATGCACCTTGGAGCAAATCTTAAAATACCAGATAGCGAACTTTCCAATATAGGAGCAGATCACCAACGCAATGCAGAAAAAGGACTCGCCGTACTCCAATCATGGAGGAATAGGAAAGGGCGTGACGCAACTGTAGGATGCCTTTATGACGCATTTAAAGCTGCTGGTAAAAAAAAAAGTGCAGAAAAAGTTTTGGGTAGGTAAATTTGTTTTTTACCATCCTAGAGAGAGGTACGCTATAATCATACCATAATAATTAATACAAGATGTAAACAATAGCCTTCATTTAGCGCGGAAACGTGCTCGTAAATAACTTGTCAATGGAAATTGCCTCTTCCTGCCATAGCATGTCGCTGAGTATGGGTTGTAGTATGATGGAGGCGCAGATACTAATTTATTTGTTTTCTGTTTTTTCCTTTTCAGAGCTATGTAAACCTAAGCCGTAGGACAATCCCTGTGTGCTGCGCGAGAATAGCAACTAAGTGAAGAGCTTAAAGAAGTCGAAGGAATTGATGTTACTATGAGTAAACACCTCATGAACATAATAGTTATTTTAAAAGTTAGCTGTTACCCAGTTTGGATGGGCTTGAAAGCATTGATAAAGGCTAACACTATCTTGATAAGCAAGAGGGATTCTAAATGTGTTAACTTAGCAAACATGAATTTAATGTTATATAACCAAATTAGTATAGAAAAATTTCTTTTCTTTACTGAGGTTAGGCTATTAATAAACACCCATGTTTTTAAAACAGACTTTACGGACTTGTCTATACGTTCCAAGTTAACTTAAACTGATTGCTTTGTGCAGACATTTGCTTTTATCGTTAAATTATAGAAAGTAACTGAAGTTTGAACAGCTCACATTTGGAACCGAGATTCGCGAGTAAAAAGTACCTAAAATGATGATAATTGTTGCCAAAACTGCTCAATGGATTTCTAAGCTTCCTAGTCGCGCCATTGAATATGGAAAAAACTTTAACGCAAATGTAATGCTTGAGCCTTGTTACGTGTGACCGTGGAGGTTTGCAATTGGAAGTTATCGTGAACCTGAAAGTCTCTAAATATCGTCGGCACAGAAACTTCCGAATCTTAGGATCCCTGAGAGTTTCCAGTTTTCGCTCGGGAAAGAGTGCGACAAACAATCAACCTTTTAATACCTAATTTATTGTCAAGTATTAGAAGAACAATTGTACGTAAGGCGAGTCCAAAATGTTCTACCACTATCGGCAATGATCTGGAAGCATGGAAAGAGGATTTCGGAACCTTTCAACGAAACGAAATACAAATTATGGTTTACATACGAATATTAAAAATATATATATTAAAACCGATCAAGCTCTGGAAAAACCCACATCCCTACGGGTATATACATCAATGACATAAATTGAAGGATATTTCATAGAAGAATTTTCAGTCTGCCTTGCACTTTTTGTTCTAACATAGCAAAAACGAAATCGCCTTTGTTTACACGAGTGGCGAGGGCGATTTAAAAATGTTTTTTCTAATCACCATACGGTACATTTTGAAATTTTCGGCTAACAACGAAATACGAAAGAGGAAAGTTTTAAGGTGTTTCTTTGACTCCAAGATACTACTTCTGAATGATTGCCAGCTGAGTATAAAACAGTACAATGAAAATGTGACGGACGTTTTGTTTGTTCAGTGTCTAATTGACACGAAGTTAGTCGCCTGTCAATCGCCCTGGGGAAAAGCTGGATGTAATTTCGAACCCCTTCTCATATACCACGTTCTTTCCACTTCGATGTTTCGGCCTTTCTTATGTCTCATTAAAAAGTGCTGACGTTGATGATAAAAAGCACAGGCATAATTACGATGGCGATACAGCGGAGTTGCCATTTCATGACGCTCCAGCGAAATCTTCCCTCACCTTTCTGACTTTTTCAGTCATTTCTCCCTGCCCCTCGAAATTTTCATTCCCCGCTATGCGTTCTAAGATGTTTTTTCAATTACCTCTTTTAAGTCAGCTACCTCCATCAGCATGCTATGCATCCTTTTCAAATGTTCGTTCCTTCCGTTGTTCCGCTGTCTCCCCGAAAGTTCATCTACATTTTATAAAGTCAAGAAGACAAGTATCGTAAGGTGCACTTAATTAATCATTGTTGCAAAAGTGATTTCTAAAAAATAAAAGTGAAGTTTCCTAACTAGATTAAAACTTAATGAGAAACCTAATTTAGATAAAGGCTTTTGAAAACCATTTTAAAATCGTCCTGGAGGTGACCGAAAACACAGAAAGACGCGGTAAGCTTGAAAGCACTCAACTCAACAGAACCTTCATTTTGCAGGAAAATTCAATACCTGGCGAGGGAATTTCGCATTAAATTGGACTTGAAAACCAATGTTGCACTCATCGCTTCGAGATTCGTGCGATGTCAGTTTTCGCATGCAATTTAAGAACGAGTCTCTGTAAGAATCAAACATCTTGAGAAATGAATAAAGGCTGATAGTTTCGAAAGAAACTGTTTGGGGCTGCGTCGGTGGGGGTAACGAAACAATTTGGATATATCAACAAAGTCGAAATGGTAAATAAGCCACCGTAACGATTACAAAAGCTGACGTTTCGAGCGTTAGCCCTTCGTCGGAGCGAAGGGTCGAACTTTCGCAATTTACCGTATACGACCCATTCACCGAGATTTTAATGGAAAATATCCAGGCAGATGGATTCGATGAGGTGTCCGGCAAAAGCTCGAATTTTACAGAACCGTGGCGACTGGCAGAACAGAGCTCAAGAAGAATCAGCACGCCAGTAGTTTATGGAAAATTCATGTTTGCATGGATTTGATANACTAACCGCCTCCCGGTTAGCTCAATGGATAGAGCGCTGGACTGTTGTGCGGGAGGTCGAGGGTTCGAGCCCCGGCCGGACCAACACTCAGGGTCTTAAAATAATTGAGAAGAATTTGCTACCTTTCTATAACATCAAGAAATGGTTAGATATTCTAGTCTTCTCGGATAGGGACGAATAAATGGAGGTCCCGTCTCCTGCAGGGTTGGGGTAGGAGACGTTAATTTCCCACACACGAGATTACTGTGTGATGGATGTCCTCCCCTGGGGTGGGATGGGTGGGATATAGGGCGCACTTAATTTGGAGCCTCGCTCTGTTGTGTGACCCTCACCACACTCTGGTGAAAGGTGAAAGTGAAACTGTTTGGGGCTGCGTCGGTGGGGGTAACGAAATAATTTGGATATATCAACAAAGTCGAAATGGTAAATTGGCCACCGTAACGATTACAAAAGCTGACGTTTCGAGCGTTAGCCCTTCGTCGGAGCGAAGGGTCGAACTTTCGCAATTTACCGTATACGACCCATTCACCGAGATTTTAATCGAAAATATCTAGGTAGATGGATTCGATGAGGTGTCCGGCAAAAGCTCGAATTTTACAGAACAGTGGCGACTGGCAGTACAGAGCTCAAGAAGAATCAGCACGCCAGTAGTTTATGGAAAAATCATGTTTGCATGGATTTGATAGACACTCGGAACTGAAACTCATCTACTTTAGACTTAAGCTTCGTCACAATTTACTCATCCTCTGAACTTTTTCGATCCTCTCTCTTAAATCATCCAGTCCCCCCTCCTCTATTCCCTCTTCATTTCTGCTTTCACTTGTTCTATGTCTCGTGTTTTCGATTAATTTACTTCTTCTGAAGTACTGGGCATCTTGAGGGAACCTCCTCTCTCCCTGGCTTGGCGTTGTCCGGTCTCGCCCTCTTTGTTGCATCATGCCAGACAGAGACCAAATATAACGCTGTTAGTACCCATCTCCGAAAAGTTATGCATTATTACATAATCCCACGACAGCCGTAAAAGGGGAAATTCACGTAGATGACGCTTCTTGGGTGTCTGCTGAGTTTAAAAGCTCTTATTATCAAAATGTATATGTGCAAGGTGAAACTGAGCGTTTCAGACACCGTCGTAACATCACTAATCGTGAGCGGAAGCTGCGTCGCGAAAAGTACTATGTAACCAAAGTCGCCAACCTTAACAGCACCAAACCCAACTAGTGCTGGAACGAGGTCAAGATGATAGAGGGTATGGCTCCGGTTACTGGTGGCGAGGACATATGCTCATATCTCCACCTTGACGGGATCCGCTGGCGTAGTGCGCTCCAACCTAGATACCGCAAATATGACCAATACAGCTCTTTTTGAGCCAATGCAGGATTATGGCCCGCTTGAGTGTCTTCCTCCATTTTCGAACAACTCTAAAGTCTTAGCGATCAGCCCATCAGATGTATTAAAGGTTCTCTTAGAGCTATTTCCAAGAGAGGCCGGTGGCTCTGATGACATTAACAACTGGCTCCCAAGGGAAGATGCTGACTTTCTAACTTCACCGGTCTGCGTTATTCTAAATCCATCATTCGTCGAACAGAAGCTTTCTCGGTCGTGGAAGGATGCTGACGTTTCACTGCTGATGAAAGTAAAACCTGTGACCATCATCACCAAGCATATCAGACCCATCCCTGTAACTCCAGTTTTGTCCAAGTTAGCAGAGAAGTTCGTTGCTCGTAAATATATTGGCCTTGCGGTCTTGGAACTGATTGATCCTAACCAATTCGGCGCAATCCCAAAATTATCAACACTTCATGCCCTCATTTCAGTAATGCACACTTGAGCACAAGCCACGGACGGGACTCAGTTCTGAGGTGCGTGTTGTGCTCCTACATTACAGGAAGGCTTTTGACCTTTTGTATCAAAATACTCTGGCAGCCAAGATTCTTGGGTTGCGCATTCCGAGCGGGGTTGTTCGTTGGGTCTGTGACTTCCTTATGGACAGGCAGTAGCGAGTAAAGCTTTCAAGTGACTGTTTCTCGGAATGGGGATCCGTTCCATCCGGAGTGCCTCAAAGCACCAAACTTGGACCCTGGCTCTTCATCCTGATGATAAATGATCTCCATACAAACGGCTTTGAGGCGTAGAAATATGTGGATGATCCAACTTTTGCTCAGGTGGTCCCAAGGGGAGGACAAAGTACAATGCAATGCAATTCAATTGGGAGTGTTACAGCTGTGGAGCAATGGTATATCACTAACAAGCTTTGGCTGAGACCAGATAAGTGTAAAGAACTGCTGATTGGCTTTAAAAGAACGCAACGCTAATTTGATGCGATTACTATTAATTCTAAGGAACTTGAACGTGTAGACAATGTTAAAGTGTTTGGTGTAACAATAGCCAGCATCCTACAATGGAATTGCCATATTTCTGACGTACTAAAAAAGGCTAATAAGCGGATGTTCTTTCTCATATTGCTCAAACGCGCCAAAGTTCCGGCTCGTGATATCATCAGCTTCTAGCCTACTTGTATTAGACCTGTACTCGAATATTTAGCTCCTCTTCACCATCATGCACTGCCTGATTATTTAAGCAACGACAAAAAAATGTGTTAAAGAAACGCGCGCCCTATCTGTAATTTCACCCGGCCTATCATATCTCGACAGTTCATTGTTTAACCTGAACTCACTGAAGGATAGACGTATCGAGCAATGTAGTAAACTTTTCGAACCAATAGAGTCCAATACCAAGCACAAGCTTCATCATTTTTTGCTACCGAAAAACAACATGTTGCTTACAATCTTAGAAATCGAGGTCAGTTTCTTAACCCAATGATGCGCACCAAGCGTTTCTCCCAGACATATTTACCAGCTTTGTGTAGACAATAGGTCTATGTAGTATTCTAGTATTATTTTTGTATAAGTAAATAATAAGCTCTG